CTGGTAGTCCATATCTCAGCAATATTTCCATTCACCTCTTACTCAAACCAAAAACCTAGGAGTCATCCTAGACCCAGTGAAGGACTTTTGATTTTACCTTCTACTCTTTTGATACTTCTCACCTCTCTCCATTCCTTTTGCTAATAATCTACCTCAGGCAATCACCATCTCTTTCCTTTAATGCATCAGTAGTCACCAACGGCACCATCTAGTACACATGCAGAGGGATCTCTCTGAGATAAAAATTAGAATTTATCAGTCTCTCCAAAACTCTACGAGATGCTGGTCCCTAGGATAGAGTAGGTCTACCCATTAGCTAAATGAATAAATGAATAAATGAAGCATGGGAGCCAGAGGTCTCTCAATATCCAAGGTTGGGCCTCATTTGGGTTCTAGATTATATTGCCCATAATATAATCCTTGGAAGATTTCATGCATCAACCAAATCTCTTTCTTGAATTTTGCTTGGAAGTTCGTAAAACAAGAATGAAGACTATAGTGTTATTGTGCATAGGGTGTCTGTAAGAACAAGATCGAATCCCTATGGGGAAAATAAGATTTGTGTGCCTATATTTTTGCTTATCTTTTAATCATGATCTATTAAATTTTTATATGAAGACTTTCTTAAGAGAGCTCTTCAAAAACAAGCATCCCCTGCCCAATACAAAAGAGAGAAGTGGATGCCACTTTAGCGTATCTGCATCTGTGTAGCTGGATTTCGGCATTATGAAACAAGGATTCCTTCTAATCAGTCTGACAACTGGTGTTTGGACTGCTATTCTTTAAGGTTTGTAAATTGGTTCTGTTTTAACAAAGAATCATTCTGAAATATTAATTTATAAACAACTTGCCAAAAAAATGAAAAGAATATGCGATGATATAATTTGATGTTTAAATGAGCTCATCAGGTGAGAAGTAGCAAGACATAGATACGATGTTTCTTTTATTCTTAAATTTGCATACAATGCTTTAGTTTACTCTTTTTGTGTATGGTAAAATTTATATAACATAAGATTAACCGCTTGAACCATTTTTAAATATATAGCCCTGTGTCATCAGGTACATTCATGTTAGTGTGTCACTTTAGTATACTTTTCTCTAAAATTATTATATTGAAATAACTCAGTAGTTTTGTAATTGAGACACAAAAATGCTCACGTTGAATAAGATGAGTTGCTTCTGCAGCTCATCAGTGTGTTACTGAAGAGAAACAATTTTATTTGTTGTGCTTGTTAAGGAACTTGCCTCATATCCAGCCTTGTTGGGTCAGAGAACAAATGCCAATGGAAACTTATAGAAACAAGTTTATTAATTTGGCTTATTTCAACATTTTAAAAAAAGATTTATTTATTTATTTATTTGACAGAGAGAGAGAGAGAGAGAGAGACAGAGAGAGATCACAAGTAGGCAGAGAGGCAGGCAGAAGGAGGGGGATGCAGGCTCCCCGCTGAGCAGAGATCCTGACGCGGGGCTTGATCCCAGGGCCCTGAGATCATGACCTGGGCCGAAGGCAGAGGCTTAACCCACTGAGCCACCCAGGTGCCCCTTATTTGAACATTTTTTAAAATAAAATAAAACATATTTATTTTATTTTATATAAAACATTTAGAAACATATAGCTTTTACTGCTGTGTAAGAATCTCATTTCACCATGACTGGTGTCCTAGTTCTAAAACTAGATAAATAGCAATGTTGTAGAAAATAATGAAAAATAAAAAAAAAAAATGGAAAACAGCATTTTCCCATTTTCTCCTAGTATTCTGAAATTTTTTTTTTTTTTTTCTTTTTTTTTAAGATTTCACTTTATTTGTCAGAGAGAGAGAGTGAGAGCATAAGCAGGAGTTGGGTGGGGCAGCAGGCAGCAGGCAGAGGGAGAAGCAGATTCCCTGCTGAGCAGGGGACCTTATGTGCAACTTCATCCCAGGACCTCTGGATTGACGCTTAACCAACTGAGCTCCCTTAGGATCCCAAGACTTTTCTTGATTCTAATGCTTAAATTCTTTATGTAAAGTATAATTAATTTAAGAAGACAGTAGATTCCAAATGTAAAGTCTTATCTGGAAAAGTTTAAAGATGATATAGACATAATTTGGTTTATTCATTTTATTTATTTAACTTGTTTAAATGTGTTCCCTTCCTGTGAAATGATCATTTGGAAACTTGAACATAGAATGTTGGGCAATAGAAAGGACTGAGTTCAATGCCTGACTAATTCTTGTACCCTGCTGGAAGAGGAAGCTAAGCTTTAATTTAGGGGACAGAGGTGCCATAATGTGCCGTATCCAAACTAACACATTTTGTAAGCTGCACTAAGAGAAATTTTGGGGGTAATAGTGAGAAGTGAGTGAGAAGATTTAGAGTGATTCAGAGTGAGAAGATTTAGCTTTAAAATAAATGGCAAGTGGGATACCTGGGTGGGTCATCAGTTAAGCACCTGCTTTTGGCTCAGGTCATGGTCCCAGTGACATGGGATCTAGTCCCCCTATGGACTCCTTTCTCAACTTCTCCCTCCCTCTGCTTGTATTCTCTCTCTTTCTGAAAAATAAATAAATAAAATCTTTAAAAAAATAACATAAAAGGAAAATCCTCATACTTCATAATCATCTCTTTATAAAAATGACCTTATGACTATAGGAGTCAATTCAATCATCTAATGAACTGGAAGGTGACAAGAGCACGCCTGAACTGACAACAAGCTCTAGTTTCTCCTGGAAAGTGCAAAAAACACCTGTCTCTCCAATGTAGATAACCACAGTGGATTTTCTCGCAGTCCGCCATCAGATATTTTTCGCATTTATCAACAGGAAGCTGTATTACCAACACTTCATCGTTTTTCATTTGGGGGTGTCTCCTGTCTGTTTACCTGAACAGTCCCCCTTCTCCACCACCGATCTGCCAAGATCTTCTTGAGGGAAACACACGTGCAGGGGCACAGGGTTTGGCAGCGAGGCTGTGGTGGTGATGAGGCTCAGAAGGGGATTCGGAGTTGTCCGTTTTCCCTGTCCACTCAGTACACGTCCACCTGCCCCCCCATCTTTTTGGAGCTAATGCGTAGCATGGCCATTGAAAACAGACTTGGAGAAATACTGGAGTCCTGAAACTTTTCCAGCATATTTTGAATAGAAATAATCTTGACAGCAGATGAGCTAATTATTTGTTCACATGTGCTTTGGCTAGTGTTTTGCTCTTCTGGGGGGGCTTGTAATAACTTCAGAGTTTGTCCTTTGTGAGATGGCAACCTAAGAGTATATCTTTTCCACTGGTTTCAAATTTTAAGGCATTTTGGGATAAGTTTTCACTTTTGGGAATTGGAGGTCAATGCAGGAAATTTTGGAGCATTTTGGAGCAAGTCAGTTCTTCCCTAGGCTAGGTAGAAAACATTTATCTCTTGAAGGCTTATTGTACTAGGAGAGAAAGTCTTGATTTAAGGAGATATCACCTCCGGGAAGAGAAGCTTGTGGCTCAAGTCAGAGGGAAGTGTTAGGACTATGAAGGTGGGGTACCAAACATAAGAAGGCACAGCAACTACAGATGTGCACTTACAGCAACATTAATTTCCCACTTAAGCCTTTTTGAAACTATTAGAGGTTTTATAATTCTGTTGACAATAATCCTACTTGGAACACGATATGCTTTATATAAAAATAATTTTTTGTGAAAAGTCTAATTAGTTTAAAAGCCTAGTCAAATGGTAGGTTTAAAAGCTGAGTCACAGTCTAATTTACTATCACAATTCACAGTTTCCCTCTTTATTTTACTTGGTAGATTAATCCCATCTCAACAGTGCCATTAGGTGCCTGCTTTCATGATGTGGAAAAATACACACGTACATTCGAGATTTTTGAGCATGTGGGTTGTGACGAATTTAAATGTGTTCTAATAGTGCAACTGCGTAAAACAGCTGAAGATTTATACTTGTTTTGTAACTTAAGGATGAGGAAATTGACTACTATGGGATAATTAAAAATAACAACTCTCTGGGAAAGCATGAGCTAAGTTGTTAGATGCCAGGGCATCAAGAAACAATATTCTGTAATCTGTACAGAATTTTTTTTATTCTGTAAATAAATTGGGTAATTTATATCTTTGTCACTTGAAGATCAGATATATATTTGAGTTAATGAATCATCCCACCAACATTCCATAACTAAAGCAAATTTTGTTTTCCTTTCATGGACAAGGTTTTAGTCAATTGAATAATAAATCATCCTGCCTTTTCCTGAATCACAGGATAGGGAGGCTCTTCATCTTCAAAGAAACAGGATCTCAATTAAATAAGGCCTTAGAGGAGAGATTCTACCCTGTTATTTTTATTTTTTTATTTTTTTGGTCAGTATGGCTAGAGGTTTGTCAATTTTTTTAAAAGATTTTATTTATTTATTTGACATAGAGAGAGAGAGAGATCACAAGTAGGCAGAGAAGCAGGCAGAGGGTGGGGGAGGAAGCAGGCTCCCCGCTGAGCAGAGAGCCCGATGCGGGGCTCGATCCCAGGACCCTGAGATCATGACCCAAACTGAAGACAGAAGCTTAACTCTCTGAGCCACCCAGGCGCCCCTATCGCCAGTCCTTTTTTATGTAAAGCATATGAACGCAAAAATCTTTTATTTGGACTAGTTTTAAGTTTAAAACTTAAACTGTTGCTTAGTATAAATGAAAACTTTTTAAAGAAATCCAGTGTTATTTCTTTCACATATCTGTAAGAATTTGAGCTAGGGTGTCAAAGTACCAACACGTAGAGTTTCTTAGGAAATCTGCTCTAATGAACGAATGAGTGATTTGTAGTTAACTTAATAGTTGATTTTATTTCAAAGAACATGAGGCATTTGAAAAATAAGTTTTTTTCTGAACCTAATAATACCAATTTTCTCAGCAATTCTTCTTTTTCTGGAACAGTGAAAATAATTATAATATCTGAATGGAGTCCGAGGAGTTCATAGAGTGTTACTGAGTCTGTCTATTTTCTAAGGAAAATTGATTCATTATTTTCAATTATTTTACAGGATCCTTCAAACCAAAAATGTGGTGGAAGAAAGAAAACAGTATCGTTCAGCAGTATGCCATCGGAAAAGAAAATTAGCAGTGCGAGTGACTGCATCAGCTTCATGCAAGCTGGCTGTGAACTGAAGAAAGTCCGGCCAAATTCTCGTATTTATAACCGTTTTTTCACTCTGGACACAGACCTCCAAGCTCTTCGCTGGGAACCTTCCAAGAAAGACCTTGAGAAAGCTAAGCTCGACATTTCCGCTATAAAAGAGATCAGACTGGGGAAGAACACAGAAACATTTAGAAACAATGGCCTGGCTGACCAGATTTGTGAGGACTGTGCCTTCTCCATACTCCATGGGGAAAACTACGAGTCTCTGGACCTAGTTGCCAATTCAGCAGACGTAGCAAACATCTGGGTGTCAGGTTTACGGTACCTGGTTTCTCGAAGTAAGCAACCCCTTGACTTTATGGAGGACAACCAGAACACGCCAAGGTTTATGTGGTTGAAAACAGTGTTTGAAGCGGCAGATGTGGATGGGAATGGGATTATGTTGGAAGACACTTGTGTAGAGTTGATAAAACAACTCAACCCTACCCTGAAGGAATCCAAGATCAGGTTAAAGTTTAAAGAAATCCAGAAGAGCAAAGAAAAACTAACCACACGAGTGACAGAAGAGGAATTTTGTGAAGCTTTTTGTGAACTTTGCACCAGGCCTGAAGTATATTTCTTACTGGTCCAGATATCTAAGAACAAAGAATATTTGGATGCCAATGATCTCATGCTCTTTTTAGAAGCTGAGCAAGGAGTCACCCATATTACTGAGGATATGTGCTTAGACATTATTCGGAGATACGAACTTTCTGAAGAGGGTCGCCAAAAAGGGTTTCTTGCAATTGATGGCTTTACCCAGTATCTGTTGTCGCCAGAATGTGACATTTTCGATCCTGAGCAAAAAAAGGTTGCCCAGGATATGACGCAGCCATTATCTCACTACTACATCAATGCTTCCCACAACACCTATCTCATAGAAGACCAGTTCCGGGGGCCGGCTGATATTAATGGGTACGTTAGAGCTTTGAAGATGGGCTGTCGAAGCATTGAACTCGATGTTAGTGATGGTTCAGACAATGAACCAATCCTCTGTAATCGAAATAATGTGACAACACACCTTTCCTTTCGAAGTGTCATAGAGGTGATAAATAAATTTGCCTTCGTTGCTTCTGAATACCCACTCATCCTCTGCTTGGGAAATCACTGCTCCCTACCACAGCAGAAGATAATGGTTCAACAGATGAAAAAGGTCTTTGGCGATAAGCTCTATACTGAGGCACCTTTGCCATCAGAAACCTACCTCCCATCACCGGAAAAATTGAAAAGAATGATTATTGTGAAAGGAAAGAAATTGCCTTCTGACCCAGATATTTTGGAAGGAGAAGTAACAGATGAAGATGAAGAAGCGGAAATGTCGCGAAGGCTGTCGGTAGATTATAATGGCGAGCAGAAACAAATCCTGCTGTGTAGGGAACTCTCCGATCTGGTGTCCATCTGCAAGTCTGTTCAGTATAGGGATTTTGAACTGTCTATGAAAAGCCAAAACTATTGGGAAATGTGTTCATTTAGTGAAACAGAGGCCAGCCGAATTGCAAATGAGTACCCAGAGGATTTTGTAAATTACAATAAGCGGTTCTTATCGAGAATCTATCCAAGTGCCATGAGGATTGATTCCAGTAACTTGAATCCACAGGACTTTTGGAATTGTGGCTGTCAGATTGTGGCAATGAATTTTCAGACTCCAGGTCCAATGATGGACCTTCACACAGGCTGGTTTCTTCAAAATGGAGGCTGTGGTTATGTTCTAAGGCCATCCATCATGCGGGATGAAGTTTCTTACTTCAGTGCGAACACAAAGGGCATCGTACCTGGGGTGTCTCCTCTCGCCCTTCATATTAAGATCATCAGTGGTCAGAATTTTCCAAAGCCCAAGGGAGCTTGTGCCAAAGGAGATGTCATAGATCCCTACGTTTGTATAGAGATACATGGAATTCCAGCAGACTGTTCAGAACAAAGAACTAAAACTGTCCAACAGAACAGTGATAACCCCATTTTTGATGAAACTTTTGAGTTTCAAGTCAACCTACCTGAGCTGGCCATGATTCGTTTTGTTGTTCTGGATGATGACTACATTGGGGATGAGTTTATAGGACAATACACAATACCATTTGAATGTTTGCAGCCTGGATATCGGCATGTTCCCCTGCGCTCTTTTGTGGGTGACATCATGGAGCATGTAACCCTTTTCGTCCACATAGCAATAACTAACCGAAGTGGAGGAGGAAAGGCGCAGAAGCGCAGCCTGTCGGTGAGAATGGGGAAGAAAGTTCGAGAATACACCATGCTCAGGAATATTGGTCTTAAGACCATAGACGACATCTTTAAAATAGCAGTTCACCCCTTACGAGAAGCCATAGATATGAGAGAAAATATGCAGGTAGGAAAAACTCCAAGCTCTTCTTCCCTACCCCTCCTCCTTCCTTCCCCTGCCTTACTGGTGAACATTGTGTTTTACTAGTGATCTGATTCCTCAAAAAATTATCAGAAAAGTTGTATAAAGCCACTATCACTGAATTAAGTGTTGGCCTGTGATAAAGTAGATATATTTTATGTATGTGATTGTGAATGAATGCTGTGTTGAATTTCACCTCAACTAAACCAGTTAATATAAATGCTTTATAGATCCATTAAATATCCCTGCCACAGAATCAATATGGGGTTGTGTATATGAAACAATGTGAACAAAATAAAATATAAAATATTATATGTATGCACAACATATAAAATATTATCTATATATAGACAATGCTAATTACAAGTATATATATTCAATATTTGCAGACACAAACATGAAAGGGAATTTAAAGTCCTAAAAAGAAATGCAGTGCCTATTAAGTTATTTTAATTAAGTGTATGAAAACAATAATAATAAATTACTCCCCACCAGAGCAACACAACTAAACAAACAATAGTCACCACTTGAACTTGTTGAAAACTATGCAGTCTTCCCTTAGAAAAGTGGTTTAATTGAAAGAAGATTGATTATGGCTTAAACTCTATCCCCTTGTGATCTTGAGCAAATTATTTCAGATCTCTGATCATCAGTTTTCTCCACATAAAGAAAAATAGTAATACATCACAGAATTATTATCAGAATTAAATGACAGTATATGTAAATTGTCTGCTCCTGGCATGTGGAATTTCATCGTTAGTTTCTTTTCCTTCTTGAATGCTTGTGGTCAGAGATGTTGCCAATATCTTTCTTGGCTACTATAGAATATACTTATTCTAGGGTCATGCTACTGAGAAACAACCAAACCACAAGTACTAAGTTCCTGCAATGTGCAAAGAGGTGTTGGTTGGTAGCAGAAGTAGCAGTCTGAGAACACAACAAGAGAAGAACATTTTCCAATGCAGCTTCTTTACCTAACATCGTTTTTAAGTTTTTTTTTTTTTTTTTTAATTTATTCATGAAAGACAGAGAGACAGAGAGAGACAGAGGGAGAAGGAGCCTGATGTGGGACTTGATCCCAGGACTCTGGGATCATGACTTGAGTTGAAGGCAGATGCTTAACTGACAGAGCCACCCAGGAGCCCTAGCTAACATTTAAATAGTAATTCTCACCAAAAAAAAAAAAAAAAAAAAAAAAAAAATCCCTATTTTCAAGATAGAAAACAAGCTTGAAGAAGTTATGTGATTTCCTAAATAGGAATGTTGGTCTTTAAATCCAGAATTGCCTGCCGCCAAAACAGCATGATCATTCATGGTTTTTAGTCAGGTGACGTTGAACCTCAAACCCATAATTTGGTGAATACTTTAGTTTTGCATTATTTCACAGAGAAATTCCAGAATAGACTTAAAATCAATTTTAATTAGCTAAAGTAATGGAAAACAGTATGGTATGTGAATCGTACATGAATACTTAGATTGTAAACATTTTATTTGAAGTGGTTGCCTTAGCCACTATTTTAAAAACAGGCTCCAAATATTAGCATTGTCTATCTGGCTTTTTCTGGCATAATACAAAGCTATTATAAATCCCTATATTAGATTACTTATACATCATTTGTATATCTTACTTTATATATTAGAAGTTTCAATTAGCAATAATCGCGCCTCGGATAAACCTCATTGGCTACGATACTGCCACTGCGCAAAGCCAGAAGTTGACTTTATTTATTTCTATGTAATTCCTGAAATACATCCTTTACACATACTGTGTGTTTAAAATGTGTAGTAAGGGGAGTTGGTTATGATAAAGTTTTCCAGGTAATCCTGATAATTTATATCATCTCAACATAAAGTCTTTTGGGTTTAGGATTATTTGGAGCCTAATCAGAAAAATGAAATACCAATATTGTTGCTAAATTCATTCGACATATAATAGGTTAGGTACTGCTCACTGTTAATAAAATGTGGAATAGTTATAATTTCTATTTCAAATGAATTTTAAAAGCCTGTAAAACATGGACAAATGTAGCTCTGCATGAAATTTATTTTAGTATGTGCATCTGTCAGGTGCATTTCTGATGGGATGACAAAGAAATACCATTGATGGTTAGTCAAATGCATGGCGGTGGGTAATGGCAGCCTGGTACCTTGAGGGGGAAAAGCCCAAAGGAGACGCACTCCAATGTATAATGACATGTTCTTATGATCATCATACTACAAATGGAATAAGATATGCACAACCAGCCAAGCCTAGTTTGTGTGAATATTCCAGTGCTCTGCTTTGAAATGCACTGTGTAGCCTTGGTTCACAATCAGCTTTGCTTTATGGCATGTTTGTGGCAGTTGCTAAAAATTGACAAAGACGAGGTATAATAGTGAATTAGTTCTGTGTGTTATCTCGGTACACATTATGCTTCTGGTTAATTATAATCCAGTTTCCTCCAAATTACATATGTATCGGAGGGTATACTTTTAATGAATATACTTTTGTGTAAACCTAGAAGTGCTCGGGTGATGTGTCATGTGGTCAGAAGTCTAATTCCATGTTTGCTTCCCCACAGAATGCCATAGTGTCTATTAAGGAACTGTGTGGACTTCCTCCAATTGCCAGTCTGAAACAGTGCCTGTTGACCCTGTCCTCCCGGCTCATCACCAGTGACAATACTCCTTCAGTCTCTCTTGTGATGAAAGACAACTTCCCTTATCTGGAGCCTCTGGGGGCAATTCCAGATGTGCAGAAAAAAATGTTGGCTGCTTATGATCTGGTAGGAAATTGTGATTTTAGATTTCTTATCTGGGTGTGGGGGGAGAGAGGGGGCGGGGAATCAGCTGGCAGGGGCTCTTTTGTGGAACTCTGATGAATAAATCACATTGGGGTGGCAGGCAGAGCTGGCCCACTCAGTTCCCTTAAGCCCCAGTGAAGACCTCTGGGGCAATGCTTTGAACCCAGAGCCCCATAGATTACCCACAGAAATTCTCTGCATCAGTAAGGAATGAATTATTAAGTCTTCAAAAACATACACAGTTTCCCATCATCTAAATGACTTTGGCCTGCAACATAACCATTTAATTGTGTACCTGTAAGAAATGGCCATATGTTTCTCAGGGCTGCCTTGTGATGTTTGAGACAAAATATTTCTCTGGAATTTATATTTCTTTTTTTCTAAAGATTTTATTTTTTTTTGAGAGAGCGAGAGTGGTCACAGAACACAAGCAGGGGGAGGGGCAGAGGCAGAGGAAGAAGCAGACACCCCACTGAGCAGTTAGCTAGATGCAGGGGCTCAATCCCAGGACCTCGACTATCATGACCTGAGTGGAAGGCAGACCCTTAACTGACTGAGCCACCCAGGCGCCCCTGGAATTTATATTTCTAAGCTAATACTGTTAGATTTTTAAAATATATAATGTGATTTATATAGTAATTAAATTTAAAATTAAATTTTAAAAAAGATTTTATTTATTTATTTGACAGACAGAGATCACAAGTAGGCAGAGATAGAGGAGTAAGCAGGCTCCCCGCTGAGCAGAGAGACCGATGTGGGGCTCCATCCCAGGATCCGGGGATCATGACCTGAGCCTAAGGCAGAGCCACCCAGGCGCCTCAGTAATTAAATTTAAAAATAATTATATTTTTGCATCTCCTAATTCCATAAAAAAATAAGGAACAAATGAAAATCTGGAAAAATTTGTAACATATATACCAGATAAATTGTACCTATCCTTAAATTAGAAAATGCACTCAAAAATTGGTAAGAAGGGACACCTGAGTGGCTCAGTCGGTTAAAGCAGGTGACTCCGGATTGTGGCTCAGGTCATGATCTCAGGGTCTTGGGATGGAGCTCAGAGGGGAGTCTACTTCAGGCTTCTCTCTCTCCCTCTGCACCTCCTCCTGCTTGCTCACTCTTTCTCTCTAAAATAAATAAATCTCTGAAGAAAAAAAAAATCAGTAAGAAAAAAAATATGGAGAAAAATATCTTACATCAGTAAGGTGTTAAGTACAGCTTGATAAAAGAGTGCAACACTATCATGGCCTAAAAATACAGTTTTACTCTTTCAAATAAAAACCTGGAGACCAGCCTTCTAGGATGGAACTTCTGTAAAGTTCTTAGGAACCTAGGCTCCCTCTAGCTTTCTGCTCTACCATCCCTATAGTGTGACCCTTATCCTTATAGTCCAAAATGGCTGTTGAAACTCCAACCATAACATCTGCATTCCAACCATGAAGAGTGATGAAGAGAAAATAGAGGGCATATTTTTTGCTTTTAAGGACATTTCTCTGAAATAGCATAGATCATTTTTGCTTATATTTCATCAGCCTAGAATTAATGCATAGCTACTACTTAGCTACAAAGGAGAATGGAAAGTGTCTTTATCTCAAGGGTCTATGTGTCCAGCTAACAGTTATCTCTTCTGTTACTAAGAAATAGAGGAGAGTTATTAGAGGATAACAAATATTCATTGCTTCAGAGGTGAACAAGAAATTCATGTATCTCTTCCACCCCTCAAAAAAAAAAAAAAAGAAAATCTAAAAACATAATTAACCTTAAAATAAGTTTTAAATTAAAGATATTGAAGAAATATAGTGAAATATTCCCTCTCTCATTAGGACTAAAAAATATTATCTCTGATAGAGAATTTAAGGTAATGGATACTTTCATCCATTTACCTCTACTAGGAAAATAAACTAGTATAATTTGGGGGGAGATAAATTTGGCAATATAATTTAAAATGTTTATCCCATTTGATTTATGCATTTGTTTTCTGGGATTTATTCTAAGGCAATAATACATAATACATTTATGTTTAATAATATTTACATAGAGCTATTAGTTAAATAAAATACAGTAAACCAATATTATGGACTCTTTCAAAGCCACTAAATCATGCATTCAAAGAATATTTAATGGTATGGAAAACTTCTCATAAAATATTTTGTGAAAAAGTCCAGCTACAAAAAAATTACACACTATAGGATTTAAATTGTATTTACACGTATACACATCACACATCTAAAATGTTAACAGAATATTTAGAGTGATTATTTTTAAGTAAGGAGAATGAACTTTATTTTCTTGTTTATGCTTTTCTACTTTTTATCCTATATTTGCAAAACTCTTTACAATGAACCCAACTAATTTCCTTAGTTGAACAAAAAATAATAAATATTAAGAAAGAAAAGAAAAATATTTTATCCTTAAAAAAATAAGTAGAGGAAAGACATTTGGGATAAACATCCTACAACTGAAAAAGAAAAAAACAAAAACAAAACCCCGTAGAATGCGTTCCGCTTCTGAATGATCACACCGCTTATAAACTGTACTCCATGGTTGCTGGGGGAAACTTCACCTATTACCTACATCTCATTTCTCATGAAATAAATCTTTTCATCATAAAAGTGGGGCCTGAAAGCTATTCAGTGAGTAGGTATAATTGCCATCTAAGAGGTAAAATTAGGGTACGAGTTGCCATAGAGACAGACAGTTGAAATCACTTATTCCTCCAATTCTCTGTGAAGCTAAGAAAGAAAAATCATTCCTTGGGAGGGGAGGCTGGTCCCCTGGAGCTGGGCTTGGAATAAGCAGAAAAGCACCTGGACTATGTTTGGCCAATTTCCATTTCACATCCCCAAGTGTCCAATGCTGTTTTGTTTTTTCAGTTCTATCTGCTGGAGCTAAATCTGGACATCAGCCTTTTTCTCATTTGTATTTTTAAAATGCAGTTTGTAATTACAGACATAGCATGGCTTTCCAAACCTTCAGGAAGAGCTACAGTAGAAGGCAGAAATACTTACAATGATATCTTCATTTAGAGTTCCCTATGGAAATGGTTTTTCATATTGGTAGGGAACTGGATATAAATATCCCTATGCCAAGTGGTCAATTCGGCAGACCAGCAAGTGACTGGAAGCTCTTCTGATGGCTCTGTTGGGTTATTTCTTTTGGGGGGAACGTGGTTGGGAACTTATACAAGGAACGGTATTGGCCTTGAATGTAAAAATATCATTTTTACTTTCGAGGATTTGCACTGCATTGGTCGGCATCTTCAATGCTCTTGATAGATCAGTGTTATTATTTTAAAGAAGACTTCTAAAATATTCTGTAGATTGAGTAATCATTTTATTTTATTTATTTATTTTAAAAGATTTCGTTTATTTGTTTGTTTATTTATTTATTTATTTAAGAGAGACAGAGATAGCAAGAGAGAACATGAGCCGGGAGGAGAGGGAGAAGCAGGCTCCCCCCGAGCAGGGAGCCCAATGCAAGGCTCCATCTCAGGACCCTGGGATCGTGACCTGGGCTGAAGGCAGATGCTTTGCCAACTGAGCCACTCAGGTGCCCATCAAGTACTCATTTTAAAAAACAAGAATTGGATCTTGTCACTTTCTTGCTGAAAATCCTACAGTGGTTTCCCATTAAAATAAAATGGAAACTCCTTACTGTGAAGTTATGATCTGGCCTTGCATACCTATCTCATTCCCCTCTTCCAAGGTCTCCTGCCTCTCCCAACCTCACCCTCACACTCTCCTGTTCACTACCAGCCTGCTCCCAACCGGCCACACAGCCTTTTTTTTCTTCCTTTCTCTCTCTCTCTCTTTCCCTCTTCCTTTCCTTCCTTCTACCCACCCTCCCTCCTTCCCTTTTTTTCCTTCCTCCCTCCTTTCTTCCTTCCTTCCTTCCTTCCTCTTTCTTTCTTCCTTCCTTCTTCTTTTCTTTCTTTCTTTCTTTCTTTCTTTCTTTCTTTCTTTCTTTCTCTCTCTCTCTCTCTCTCTCTCTCTCTTTCTTTCTTTCTTTCTTTCTTCTTTCAAGTTTGTTCCCATCTCTAGGTTATTTTATTTGTGGTTCCCTCTGCCTGAAATGTTCTGTTGCATGAATAGTTGCTTCTTATCTCTTAATTCTTAGCAAAATATCATATCCTCAAAGACATCTTCCCTTACCACTGTCCCCACCTGTCACTCTATCATATAACCTTGTTTTATTTCCATCACCCTACTTAGCAGGGTTGAAAAACATTTTGCTTGACTTTTTGTTTAATTTCTGTCCTCCTTCACCCTTCAATTTAAATGTATACTCCATGAGGGCACAGACCCTGTCTGTCTTGCTTATTACTCTTACCTCTTGCATCTAAAACAGTGCTAGCATGTACTATGTTACCTTTAATGTCAGTTGAATAAAAAGTAAATAGAAGCATTTATTGTTGGTGAAAATAGTGTAGTTTTGATGCCATAGTTGATGTGTTTATGGTAAATCTTTCAATCTTGTATGTTTTACCTCTGTGACACACACTAACCAAATTATTCCCTGTCTTAAACATATAGTTAGAAAACCTATAGACTGAGGCAAAACTATGGAATAATAAAAAGATCAAGGGGCCAGGGAAAGGGGCAGGAGGGGGTGAGGAAGGGAGGGATAGATAGGTGGAGCACAGAGGATTTTTAGGACACTGAAACTATTCTATATGATGCTGTAGTAGTGGATACATATCATTATGCATTTGTCAAAGCCCATAGAATGTATAATACAAAGAGTTAATCCTAGTGTAAACTCTGGATTTTAGCTAATGACATTCTATCAATATTGGCTCATCAGTTGTAATAAATATACCATGCTAAAGAAAGATGTTGATAGTAGGAAAACTGGGGATTGGCTTGGAGTGTTTATGGGAATTCTCTGTACTTTCAGCTCAGTTTTTACGTAAACCTAAAACTTCTCATAAAAATAAAGTCTGAAACAATTCCTTACAGACTATTAATAATAATAATAAAAAA